CAGAGGTTGTACACTCAGTATTTCAATAGAGGACAAGGCTCATCTTGGTGGACTTGCATTCATCGTCTCTTTTTTTAGATCATTTTAGATCATCCAGTTCTCTCCTGTCTGTTATAGTGTAAAGGACACATTGAGGACAATGTGTCCTTTACACTTCTGCAGTGACCTCCTTTATTTCCTGTTGTCCTCACCAGCACACCACTTTCTCATCACCCCCACTCGCTTTCCTCTGTCTCAGGGGTTTTTGCTTTCACTGGTAAATAAGGGAGAGCGTGTCTCTTGGTGCTATTAGCCCACTCAAGGCTGCCCACGCTGCACTATGATGACCACACACACACACAAATACTCTGTATTACCCACTTATTGTTCCCTCTGTAGAGGCTTTAAAGGAGGGTGGGATTCAAAGTCATCTCAACAGGATGCACCAATAAATTATGGGATTAGACCTCTAAGAGCCATCTATCAATTAAGATGAACATTGATTCATTCAAGTAGAAACAGCCACACTCTCATGAATAAACCATCATGTTCAGCTGGACAACACATGCACACGTTGTAGCTGAGGTAGAAATGTCGCTGTCCTATTTCTAAAGTTATTTTCCTCTCCCTGTGTTGCTTCGTTGGCAGAAAATTGGTTCAACACTACTTTGTTAAGGTGATTTTCCCCCCCCCCGAGTGCCTTCAATACATGTGTGGATCATAGCTGATTAACCCACCTGAAATGCTCGTTTCCTCTTTGTCAGAATATACACTATGAATAATGAAACGGCAGTGAACACATTAATATTAAACTGTGTGATCCCGCTCTGTTTAAAGAGCAGCACATTCCAGAGGTCTGGCTGAACTCTTGAGGAGAGGTAAGCTGATAAGCTGAGACACGGGCAGTGAATCATATTGCTTCCTCGCTAAGTCTGAAAGAGGTGAACAGGATTTTGTGTGTTTTTAAAACTCTCTCTGTCTTTCGTGTCTCTTTCTCTTTCACTTGCTCTCTCCTTTGTCACTCATTTCGCCCCCGCAAGAGGCAGCCATGAGCCCTCCCTGCACATCCTCGAGCCCCCTCCGCCGATCCTCGAGCCCTCTGCGCCGATCCTCCGGTTCCCATGGTGACAGGTAATTTCCCAAAGCTCTTAATTCCCCTATATGTGACACTGAGTGGCATGGTGGTAACGCATGTACATAAACGCACACGACTCCGTAGCCAGCACTGTATGCAGTAGACACACACGTGCACTTTTACTGTTATGTACAAGCAGGTGGGTTGTATTTTCATACTCGTCTGTGCAGTAATCAGTCCCTTAAGTGTCAACTTTGACTTTTTTTTCTTTTTGTATAGTTTATGTGATTGTGTATGTTTATTTTGTTTAATAATACATGCCACACGGGAAATAGGACAGTTAGGTCAAACCATTTGGTTCAGACGTTCATGCATGACTTGCTTTGACTCGGAGAATCCGTCGACGTTGAGCATTTCTTTCACATATGATTTCTCTGCTGCGTTTGACACTGTAGATCGAACAGCTTAAGAGTTTGGGCACAATCCTCATTCAAGTGTTTAAATGCATGCAGTGTTCATTTGGAATTAATATGCATGCAACAGATAAACTTCTCCTTTGCTCATTTATTTTGTCCCAGATCAATAAATACAGCAAATTTCTGTACTCGTGTGTTCTTACTCATTATGCAACCCTGTAACTGCCTTTAGACTTCTCAGTACAATTCTCTCCCCAGCAATGGACTTTTCAGTCATTGGACCTCATGCAAGACATTTTTGTATTCTAAACATTCTCTTACTTTTCTTTTAGTACGATGAGCTCGTACGAGTGTTCCACCTCAGATTCAGCGAACGCTTCTAACTTCAGATAACTGTGTAAATGACAAGCGTAAATGAGCGTGCATTAATAGAAATTGGAAATGGAAATTAGCATAATGAAAGCATCAATCATACCACATAAGGCTGTGCGTCCTGCCCCGTATGTCGTATATCAAAGTACTGCTTTCGGAGAAAGTCTATAATCTTTAACAGAGTCTGCAACGGAATTAAAACACCCGCTAAAGCCACGGTGTGGGGGGAAAAATACCAAGTTTAAATTAATTCAAAATACAAGAAAATCTGTGAATACGTCAAGTTCTCCTAAATCACTCGTGTACGAATCTGTTCATACGTGTGGTTCTTGTGTGAGGCCCAATGTCTGATATTCGCTGTACATGCACAATCTTTTCGTGGTCAGTTGGCTTGGAAAAATGTGATGTAATGTCGCTGCAATGTACCAGACTCTCAAGCTGGCATGTCGATGAGCAGATGCTGCTGTGCTTCTCGTCCCGCAGGCCCTCCACTGACACCCTGCAGAGGAACAACAGCAGCAACTCTGGCATCATCCTGGACATCTCGGCTCTCAAGATGGCAGAGGTGGACACAGAGGTGCCTCCTCTTCCGCCTCGCTATCGCTTCAGGGATTTGCTGCTGGGGGACCAGACATTTCAGAATGATGACAGGTAGCATGAAAAACTACAGTGTATATGAGAGGCTGCTCAGGGATGTTCATGGAGGGGCCTGTGTGTGTGTGTGTGTGTGTGTGTGTGTGTGTATGTGCATACATGCACTTAATTCATCTTCAAATCTCCCTAGATACTTGAAACACTGTTTTCACACGTTTTTATTGTATACAGCACATTCCAGGAGTTACTTTGTGCTGAATATTGTCTAAATCGCTGTACTCTCATTCCCTCGAGCTGCCTCGTCTACTTCTACCTCGGTTACTGTTTTCCTACATTTCCCAGAATGACTACTCATGACAACCCCCTAGAGATGTGGCGTGACTTGTGCTCAGCTGTTGGTTTTATGTGTAGGTGGATAGAGCAGTGGAAATAGAAACGAGCCAAGGTTTTTGGAGAGGTAAACGTCTTGAACAGATCCTGTGGCTGAATTGCACTGCGGACTATCTGGAGTACTGGTTGCATAGAAAAAAACAATCCTGTCTTTGTCTGTCTGTGAATATAACCTTGTTTGATTGTCACATACGTACCGTTTTTTTAGAACGAAATGCAAGTCACATTACAGGTAGTTTGAATATAGTCTGTCTTCTTTAAAAATTCAGAGTGTTTTCGACGGTTGTTTTCCTCTTGTCCTGAGCTGACCATGAAATATCCCGTCCCTTGGTGCTTGATTGGCACTACAGTCACTGGAGCGCTGAAGTGTTTGGGAGTCTCCTCAGAGTTAAATTATTGCTGCGGTTGGAGAGGCAGACCAGCAGATGCTGTTTGCCACCCAAGAGAGGGGGAAGAATTAGCCGAGCATGAGCTGAGTGCCGCGGAGCTCTCCGTGGTGCTGAAATGAAGCCGTCTCACTGAAGGATCAGCAGCCACTTCAATATTGGCTTGCAAAGAGCAAACGGAGAGCAGCGCTTTGCAGTTTTTCCTGTGGCTTTGTCAGTAACCTTAAATCGAAAGCTAACATGATATTCTTTACTTGAACTTTATCACACTGTTGGATCCTCTTCGCTGTGTTTGTTAAAGGAGCTTCTCGGGACTGGACTGTTTTCGTCCAGTAATATCGGCAAGGGGCTTTTTCTTTAAATAAGCTAAGCAAAGGTAAAAGAGGCAGTAGTCTCACATCTACTGAAGGGGTCTTTGGAACCTTTTCTTGTCTCAGGGTTACATTACTGAATAAACATTGCATTTAGCTTGTGTAGCCGGCCCGGCCTGCAACAGCACTGTAGATCATTTTATCGATGGCTGAATCTGACAGCGCGTTATCTCGCCTTGCCAGCCTTTTGGTTATCCGCAGCAGCCACAGCCGTGTTTTAGCAACGAGTCGATCAGCTTCTATGGCTTTTGTGTTTAACAATTGGCTTATTGATATGCATCTTGTGTGAATGGACGGTGAATACCGTTACTTGTGAAATCGCATTTTGAAACCAAGTATTTTGCAGTAAATATTACATTCAGTTTTTCCGCCATCCTTCATCGTCATTCTGTCCACTCACCCACTGTCGCCAGGGCTCCCTGCAGTGAATTGCTGTCAGTATATTTGACATAAATGCTACATGTAACCTTTAGAACAGCAGTCTAGTATTTGACCATTTCTCCCCATTGATCTGTGGTCTTTCCCAGGGGATGCTGGGATTTCTTGACTACTGATCCTTATGGCTTTGTTTTTCTACCTGCATGCCAGTTTTATCTGTACTGTTGACATAACAAATGGTTTGAGGCCAAAGAAAGATAAAGCAACACTGAAACACGGTATAGATTACAGTGCACATTAATTGCATGGAAATTCAGTCAACAGGCAGTGACCTAGATCAGTTTTCTGCCTTGTAGACCCTGAGATGCTAGAATATGGCAATGAAGGAGACTACGTGATATTGAATGTGTAGTCTTATGTTCGTGTGTGCGCGCGCATGTTTCATCCAGAGATCCCCTGTGAATTGTTTTGCTGATTGCTATTCAATTGCAAAGGGTAATTAGGGTTTGTTGCTGGGCTACCAACGCATGTATGCCTATGTGTGTGCGTGTGCGTGTGCATGCTAGGTCTTGTCACAGAGCTACAGTAATTCACAAATGCTGACAAAACAGCCATTGTTTCTTCAAAACAAGTAACAGCTGTAAACTGTAGCTTATCGGACACGCATCTGCACAATGTGTGTTGAGAAACCAAGATGCAAAAAAGAAGAGAACACGATTATTGATGGTGTGTTATGGCGCTAATTGCTATTTTCCGAGCTCCGGAGTGGAAACGGAAGCAAACGACTGAGCTTTGGTGACACTCTATTTCTTGGTGGTTGATCATAATTTCTGATGTTGATTATTTCCTGTGCCGATGCCTTGTCAAGTGTAAAGCCTCAAAACAAATTAACCCCCATAAAGAGAGCCCCACTCCCTGCCCTGATGGCCTTTCGCATCCGTTTCCTGGCATCTGTCATAGTTTGCTATGAGAGTAAAAGGCAGTGGGCGGAAAGACTCACTAAACATTGCTAGAAGGGAGTCTTTCCTGGCATCTGTCATAGTTTGCTATGAGAGTAAAAGGCAGTGGGCGGAAAGACTCACTAAACATTGCTAGAAGGGAGTCCCGTTATGCAGCAGGGAGAGCCGTCAGATGATCAAACAGGTTGTAATTAAGATTGTTTGTTCTAGTTATCCAAACCAAATATCATAAAAATAAAGGTTTGTGCCACATATAGAACGTCCAATTTGGACTAGGAATGAGCGCTGCAGAAACCAACGTTTACAGAAGCGGATCCTGACACCATCCGTGGGTGTTTGATCAAGTCTTCCATCATGGTGTATGTTATATTGGTGTGTATATATATATATCTGTAGTATTATATTGCGAATCCTCTGGCGGGGGAAAAAAAGCAATTTGAGAAACTAACCATTTCTTTAATGCAGCAAATGAAAAACTAGAAACTAGACGCCCCCTCCCATCACAGGTTGTGAGTAGTTCAGTTGAAGGGTATTGTTCCTCACTCATTTCAAAGAGATGTAACCGTATTTCACAAGAAAGAAGAAGGGAATAGAGAAAGGTCTGAAAAATACACATTCATAACATTGTGAAGCAGAACGTAGTTCTTCGGTTGTTGGTCCGTACCAGGGTTGGATTGACAGCTTTCACACCAGCCCAAACAATCGTACTAGCCAGGAAAAGGGACCCCAGTTTGTTTTTACTGAACCATTCAGTTTAGCCGTGTAAGCACCTGTAATGTCTCCAAATATCCAGAAAAACAGAGCAGAATTTTCCTTTGTAACAATGTGAAATGATTGCACTCATGGACCGTGTCTCTTAGTTTGTTTTTACAAGTTTTATAACTTTCTCAGCGTGTGTCGCTCCAACAGTGTGTGTGGGGGGGGGGGTCTCCCTCCTGAGCTGTCATTATCTCCAGGGTTTGGTGTAAGAGGGCTGTAATTATGGCTTGGCTGTGTGGGTGGTTGGGTGCTGAAGTCATGAAGGCTGACAGCCAATTGGACTGCGAGTGCTTGAGTATTGTTTGTGCAGGTGTCTGTATGTGCTCACGTGTGTGTGTGTGTGTGTGTGTGTGTGTGTGTGTGTTCACCTCCTGAGTGTCTGATTATACATCCGAGTGTGTGTGTACGTGGGCTTATTTCTCGGTCTGTCAGCCAGCGCAGGGGGGCAAGCCTCAGTCAGCGTCGGAAATAGAAACGACTAAGCCATCGAACACTTTTATACATACCGACAGGGTTTGAAAACGGAGAGAGCATCAGGATGAAAATTGGTTCCATCTATCTTTCCTCTGCGTGTCTAATCTTGTTCCGGTGGGGGGGGGGTTTCTCTCCTCTAATCAAGGCAGGATGCTGATGGGAGTATAATGTCGACAGAGTGAGGAGTGTTAATTGGTTGCTGAATCAACTCTAAACACCTCCTCATGAGTCAAATAGTGGCACTTGGAATGGTGACCCAGCACTGACATGTTCCGCTGTCGAGCAACAGCTCGTCCCAGACACTGATCGTACACTCGTACTGCCGTGAAAATGTTTTATCTCCAATATGACAGCTTTACAACAGCCCATAAGAGGCCTTGTTTTTAACCTTGGTAATCATTTTGAGTTGATTTAGATTGATTCTGGTATATTTCATAAACCAAAGTTTACCCCAGACCACAGAATCAAACTCCAAGTGGAAAAAAGAGAGAGATTGCACACCGATTTTGGCAGCAGCTGTTTGTTTGCACTAATTCTGTGGCAGAAGCGACTGCAGCGATTTGATGCCTGGATGCTTTCCACCTGAGTTTAGGAGGGTGTTGATAAGACGGAGAACAAAGACACAGACGGAGAGGAGAAGCAGAAGAAACATAAAATCAGAGGAAGGCACAGTTATCAGTGACACTAATGTGAAGATGATTAGGTCCAATAAGTCACGGAGGACTTGAACGCTCGCAGGCTATGTTTACCCTGCAGGCCCTCATGCTCAATGACAAATTCTGGTTCATGTTGCAGAGAGGATCGGTAGCTTAGTTTTTGTAACACTGTATGTGTGTGTGCTCTCTGTTTATGCATGTATCATAAATGTACATTTCTGATGATAACTATCGCAAACAATATGTCATAAGAACATTTTGTATTACTGCATACAAAGGGCTTGGTCTCATGAAATGCATAACAGTGGTACAATTGCTTTAGTTGCATCATACATATTTGATTCTGGTTTTTATTTTTATTTATTTATTTATTTATTTTTTTTGAGATTTGCTGCATTGTGCTGCATTTTCATACTGTAGAATATAATGTTCTGAGTTTTGCACACAAAATTCCAATTTTGACTCGATGCAGTATCTCCCTCAGAGGAAAACAAGTGAGTTTCCTCTTAAATGTTGTGTCCGGTACTCCGGTACAGCTTGCTCTAAGGTTATGGCACCTGTGACAGCCGAGGGTTAACCTCTGGTCAAGACGATGCAGAGTGATTATGGACTTAGGACAAATTTCATGAAATAACACCCCGGGTAAAAGAGGGGGAAAACCACCTTGGACACTGAATTGTGACCCTACCGTTTCCCAACTCGACGTACTTGAAATGCTGAGTGCTGTCGCTGGTGACATGCACGGTTCCGCTTAGCAACCAGAGCTTGCAATTTAGACCATAGGTGGCATTAGTCACCACCATCAGCACAGAGTGGGTGGGCGACACCGCTAGACTTGTTCTCATCAGCAGCGGAGTGGCTGTGTGTCTCCGGCGTGCTGTCGGTTTGAGAATTGCTGTTGTTATTGCGGTGAAGCAGAGGCCACGAACGTGTTGTCCACATTCTGTCTGTTTCGTCACATTTTAAGGGTGTAAGTTTGAGGATTTGTGCCGCCAGTGAGCAGAAACTCTAATGTGAAAAAGTAAATGGTAAAAAAATGAAGCCGAGGCATTGCATTCCTGAAAATGTTTAATTTGGATAATTTCAAAGATTTAGTTCCCCTTAACACAGTGGAGGTATTAGTGAAGGCAGCAGAGCGTGCTTAAGCCGAGAGGAACGAGTGTGCATCTCTCCTAAAGCCTTTTATTGCTGTTCATATGAAACCACATTACAAAGGGATAAACACGAACATTCAGAAGTGGTTGCCAGGCTGAAGTAGTGCAGCTGTTGTCATGTTCTTCACATGGTCCCTCAAAAACGAATCCAGCAAGTCGCTTGTTCATCCGTTCTTTGTTTATCTGGACCTTTTTGTGCTGATTCCCACCACAGAGCCTTTTGCCCTTCAGCGTTCAAGTCTTGGTTCGTTGGTCCCTCAAGCTCAACCAACATCAGTTTGTCCATCATCTGTACTTTCAGAGATGACCTCCAATCAGCCTTGATTCTTCCTAGACAGCTAAATTACCCCCCTCACATACAGCAGAGGCGGCTGGGAGAGCACCACATCATGTAGCATCAGAATGTGGGCAATAAATGTTCACATTGATTTATTTTGGGGTGCACATTTTCTGTCTCAGGGATAGCTCAACTGGGACGGACTATTAAAAGTAGGCTACAAAGAGAGAATTATCGGAGGGGTTGCCGGAGATGAATAAGATGTCATTTACCTTTCAGGATCTATTTCTCTTATGGGCCTTTACATCTTTGTGCCTGGAAATCTCTGGTGTATTTGCTGTTTTATTTCCCACGCTTTGTGTTGCCAACTTAATTAGCATCGGTGGAGTTGGCTTGTTAGGTTTCAACAGGCAGCTGTGATGATGGAGGCATTTGGATGAGGTTGTCAGCACTGTAGAGGGGGGGTCCCCTAGTGTCGTGGGTGTTGAGAGCTACAGCGTCACTTAGGGGATTATTCAGGAGTCACAGAAAACAATTCCTTCCACTAATTCAAAGTGATTCAATCAAATATGCAAGGTCTGAATGCTGAAGCTCAGTTGAAGTGTAAAACATTAACTTGTTTTTTTTAACAGTTACAATTATAATCGGCAACAAATTATCACATAGAGGTCTCTTAGTTGCGTTTGTTGTGAGGTGCTGATGAACTTATTTGCCTGTTTTGTTTTGGCCCCACTGAAGTAATCAGGAAAATGTTTCATAATGAATAAAGCTGCTGTGCTTCACTGATCACGGACGTGCAGCATTATTTTATTAAAGAGCCCAGTTGCAGCCTCTCCTACTGTCTGTTTGCTTCGACACTATAGTACCTCATCCCGGCATTCAGTATCATATAAGACGGATATCGGTACAGTTTATCTGGCTGTTTCAGATGAATGAAAGGGACAATGAAAGATACTTTCACTCATTAAAACCACATTAGTAATTACTTTTTTTTCAAAGGCCCCAAAGATAGGAAAACAAGAACATAAAATGTTTGTGTGTGTATCTATCTATCTATCTATCTCAGTTCATCCATGGATCAATACGGTCTGGGCTGAGATTAATAACTAAAGAAGACATTAAAAGTTATCCAAATATGAAATTTTGCAGCTGTTTCTATCTACATCGCAAATAAAAGCCGATTGTCCTATTTAATGCAAATGAGGATGGCACCACCACGGCTTTCTGGCACATCGTCATGCTGGGAGCTGTTGTTTTATTCATGAAACTGTTGAACGTGGCCTGTTTGTGTCTTTTAATGTGGCCTAATAAAAGTGCCTGCATATTTCCAGACAAGTTTCTAAGGGAAATAGTAGTTGTATCCTAAAACCCCAAACAGTCGTATTCATTCTGTTTTATTGGAAACATATATGAGTAAATGCTGCACGCGCTGAAGTAGTGTTTCTTTACGGTTCAAGGGACTCCCATCTTCATAAGAGATTGAAAGGAATGATGTAATGGTCCCATGGACAAAATGAAGACGATGACTTTCCCTGCGACATCTTCATTTTTGGAAGAGAACTTAAGGTTATGACTAGTAAATGGGTAGTTAAAGCATTTTTTGTTTTTTTTGTTGCACGAAACAGCCGTTGGCCAAACAGCAGTCGGCAAGCAAAAGCATCCCTGTGTGCACGGCACTCAAGTGCGTGTGTGCACTCCTGTATGTAAGCCTGCCAGTGGCATTGGCTAGACTTCTTCCTCCTCTCTGGCTATGCTGTGCACAGGCAGACAGCTCGCCCACAGCAGCGCCAGCTCACTGCCTTAATATGTTTTGACAGAGGAAGCATTATCGCAGTTATTGACGCCCATCTGCAGCACGGAGGGAGGCCTGGTTGCTCACCAAGACTGTGAAATTCTCCGGCCCATCAATGGCGTGTTCTCACAGGCAGGATGTAGTTCACAAATTAAAGTCACAAATGTCCCATATGTTTACTCTATCGAACATATGCAAATTCCATCAATGAAGAATGTAAACACAGTTTTCATCCAACAATTAAGGTGGGGCAAAATGGCCTTAAAATCTCATCCCATCCGATTTTTTTTTTTTTTTTACGATATACAATTACCTTTTTACATAATTATTAACTAGGCCTAGAAAAGAATTTCGAGGCAGGATTTGTAAAATGTGCTGTTGAAGTGAAAATCCACTTTCACTTTTAAATGTTGTCCCAACCATGTATTCTAATAAGTTTTTTTCGCCCAGCTCTACCAACAATATGATCACATGTTCCCTCAACTGCATGTTTCTGCAAAACTGTGACAGCAGTGGCACTTTGTTGCAGCATGGTCTCTTATCAGCTCTGTCTCAAAAATACTCTTCCCTTTTTTTCTTTTTTTTTTCTCTGTTCTCATTTTTTGATCTCAGTGGCTGGAAGTTGGGATCTGGAATTTATTCAAGTTTACGTGCCAGGCTCTTCAGAGTGGAATGCTTTACCAGACATATACTCAGCTAATAGGCTTCACTGCAGCTCTCTCTCTCTCTCGCTGGTTTTATATCCCTGCATTTTGCTGCACTGTCGAAATCCAGCCAAAAATAATGTATGTAAATATACCAGTGTGATTATGAAGCAACTCAGTTGGCTAAACATAATGCAGTAATTCTGGAGCTCTGGCTACAATGGAAATAAACTGCATCCCGTAAGCATGCATCCAACAGGCCTGTAAGCTCATAATAATGAGCTGGAGATGAGAAATATTACCCGGTCTCAAATTACTACTGTATTCATGTCTGGCACAAAGGAGTATGGCAACTAATGCCAATCCAGTATTTGGATGTACATTTGAATCCTGTTTAATGCTCTAGGGTTTTTTTTTTTTTTGGTTGTTTTTCTCGTCATTGTAGCATAATCTGTTTTATTTTACTCTGGCCGTGGTGCAGGTCCCAGCAGGTATTGTGATGTACCTGAAGCATGTGAAGTGGTTGAGCACCTTGTTCAAGGGCGCTGCATTAATACGACCTAACGAGAGATGAAACCCAGGGCCGCGCTGCCACCTGTGTCATTAGATAAACAGTACATTACGTCGGCACTGGCTGATGCCTGTTTGGGGTACAGTGTCATTTTGCTGCTGTTGTCAAATCAGATCAGACTCCCACAATCTGCAGTTCTCTACTTCCCCACAGAGTGTCTCTGTGCTCAAGTCTGTTTCTAGTGATGAACTTGCCTGCATCCTTTTCTCTATCATTCGTCCACAAGCACTTACAAGATGGACATAGTCTCATTAAGAACATATTTGATTTTCACACATGATTAAATAATAACAAATTGTTCGTTGTTCTGCATATTTTTGTTTCCCATGAAATGCATTACTGTTTTTAAGTGCTGCTAAGGATAGGAGAGGAGAATACCCTTACTATTATTTACACGGAGGGAGTTGACTCGATGCATACATATAACATTATCACCAATACCTTTACAGGCATACACGCATTAACAACAATGGGTTAATCAATACAACCAGAGTCTGCTTTATGCCAGGAAACACCAAGCTGCTCCAATGAAACAGTCGGGGCTAAGTAGCTTGCTCATGTACACATTTACACCAGCTGTTTAGAAAAATTAAAATCCCTAAATTGTGCTATCCAGTCACAGATTAAATATGCATCCCTCTCTTTGCAGGCCCCACCTCTCTAATCCCAAGGCAACTATCAACACATCATTTGATGCATTTCCTGTAGGCTGATCTCCAAATGCCATGTTCAGTAGACGTGGGTTGTATTATGTGTTTCCTAAATGCGTTACTAATGCGAGTTGAGTTTATGTGGCTACTCTGGCTCCATTAGAAATAAACTGGATCATGTAAGTCTGTCAATAAGGCCTGTAGATCATGATCAGGAAATGAGAAATCTGAACCCCTCCCTCTGAGATCGACCCATGATGTCATCATCAGAGACCCAGAAAACCCCGGAGCCCACCTGGTCCTTCAACCCACTCCGGACCGTGGGCTCTTTCTGGAGCGATGCCGGCCAAAGGTGGCTGCCACAGATCCGCAACAAAATTGCATGCTTCTGTATGCAGCCTGCTTGCAGACAAAATAACGTGATGCAAGCGCATGGTGCATAAAGTCTTCCCAATAACTAATCTCGTAATTATCCTCAGGGGAAAGTTGCTTCTTGATCAATATTCCATGACCATTAAATCTGTGAAGCCCTTAATTGTTGTTTTCCACGGAAATTTGTAGGAATGTGAATCATAGATGAAGCTCTACGCGGTGACGATATGCTCGCTCTCCCACCTTCACCATAATTTCCCAACAATAAAGACCCATTTAGAAATCTTCAGGGTTACATTAGAACTAAACTGCATCCTGTAAGCCCATGACTGTCAATAGGCCTGCAGATAATGATCAGGAGATGAGAAATATGAATTCATATCTGGCACAGAACAGTATACAGTAAGCTGGCCATTTATACCAGCTGAAAACATCGATATCATCCATGCATTGTCTACTGTACACCTGACCTGTTGTACAAACACTTTTCTGATTCATATAAAATTACCCGCAAGGCTACTGACGAAGCCTCGTCACAAGTTAAATACAGGATATGTCATGACGCACTTAAACTCTTATAAAGGGTAACCTGGTAGTTGCGCTGCCCCGTAGTCAACGCCGTCACCTCACAGCTGGGATGTATTTTTATGGTCCCAATCTGTGTGATCCTCTCCCTTCTGTTTGCATGTTTCATTAAGGTGCTCCAGTTTCTTCCACTCTCCAACCACAAGCCCTCTCCAACACTGAATCAGTAAAACCAAAAGGACTTTATCTGGCTCTCTAATGTAAAGATTCTCTGTTTGGTCTCGTGGCCCACAGGCTGTGATGCACCAATCCAGTATCATCCCGATACTGAAAGGATAGCCAAAGCCTGGGTATCCTATCGGCTGATACAGAGAACCAATCCACTGTTAATTAAAAGCTGTATGCCTCACTGTGTGGAAGAGTGTAAAGAAACATTAGGCTTGACTGAAACAAACATGACTGCAACAACTTTCCTAACTTTGCAAAACAAAATGTAAATAAATGTGTGTATATGTAATGGAAAGTAATTTATTCATTTTGATAAAGGTATCCAATACCGTCTCGGCCTGTCACAGATAGCCGATCCAGCTATTTGTATCAGTATTGGACAGATATCAGTATCGGTGCATCTCTGTGACCTAATCTGGGTCACACTGGCAAACTATAGCTGTAAACCCAATTTGACATGTTGAATTGAATTGATGAAAACATGTTTCATTTTGTATCTTTGCTTTTACTTAAACTGCAGCACATTTTCAAACTATAATTCACTTTATAGTTATAAAGTATAGCAGTTTGTTTTGAAAACTGCTGCTCAGTCAAGACTTGTTTTCTTAAAAATGATGCTGATTGATAATAATCTATTGAATTTATCAGTGTTTCTGATGATTCTTCATTATTTAGGAAACGTATAGGAGAGATGTGACGTGTCTCTAAAGCTTATTAACTTTCTGGCTTTTTGAATTTACCTGACGGATATCATGTGTTGTGTAGGTTTCGCTCCAGGTGTCACGTGCATGCAAATGGGCACGATCATGCCATGGGGTGTTTATCTAGGCCACCTGCTCGTGTGTCTGTTGCATCTCATTATCCTGGTGAATCGTGTGCTACGTAGCCAAAACGATAACATCAGCTGCACGCAGCTGATACATGAGGATCGGCCGATAGGGAAGTGAGGACTGCTTGATTGGCATAATTCGATCTACCTGTGAGACATTCGGTGCATGCGCTTTGAAACAGTAATCATAGCAATGATGGACGTGATTGAATAATTGGCACGTTGGTCAGATTGAAAGCAACCGCGGGTCATCACGTCTGACACTCATCATTATGTAGCTCGTTGGGAAGCCCGTTGCTTTAGCCGTGCGCTTGACGCTCCATCGTGACGACGTGTGAATCTCAAAGACGCACGGGGGGGACCTCACATGTCCATCGGGGATGGAGGAGAGCTCGGCGTGTCTGAGGAACCCGTGATGCGGCAGGGAGGGAGACGCTCTCCCTCCGCCTCCGTGCAGCACCAGTGAAGACAGGAGATGCGGTTTTCTGGTGGAGTCGGTCGCTGAGCGTGAGCAGCCGCTCCGACACCAGCAGGAGGAAACGTTTCGGCCGCTCTCTCTCTCTCTGCTGGAGGGTAACGCTCGGGAGGCGGAGAGCCATGGCAGGCGCCAAACTGACGCCCTCTCCCTCGGAGATCGACCCAGATGTCAAGACGGAGGCGCAGAAGACCCCCGAGCCCACCTGGGTCAACCCCTCCAGTCCTCTCCCGACCGCGGGCTCTTTTGGGAGCGATGCCGGCCAAAGGTAGCTGCCGCAGATCCGCATGTTTCCGAATGCAGCACGCTTGCACACATGCTTGCATCCACCAAAAAATAAATGTGATGCCAGCGCGCGGTGCATAAAGTCTCCCGAATAACTTGGCTCGTAATTATCCTTATAGGCCAAAAGCTGCGGCGTGATCAACATCCCATTACCATTAAATCTGTTAACCCGTTTGTTGTTATTTCCCAGGGACATTTGTAGGAATGTGCAATTGTTACGGGTGGTAGGCTATTGTCCCCATTGAGGTGAAACCAACGATTCCAGTGCGCCACTTTATAAGTCAGTTATAGACAGACGGCAGCATGATTGCAAACGCTTCTGCCGTCAATCATTTCCTCTCGGTATCACAGGGATGCACGTATTTAATAACTGCAGTATATTGTGATTACATAATTCAGTGGATGCTGCATTCCCATTACAATTTGACAAACCCCATTTTTTGATAGGGTTGTAGAATGTTACTATGCCACTGCATCTAAAGCTGAAGTTGATTTTTGACGTAATACAACCAGATTTATATGAAACAAAAATGCAAACCACAGGAGATTGTGTTGACATACCTGCATAAAGCCTACATACGTGTAAGCCGGTCTGCACTGCTCAATAGAATCGGCATGCAGACTTCCTCCATCAGGACACTCTCCTGCCATTTGGTAGACAAATTAGATTGTGGTTTGTGGGAGATGGGCTGATCCAGTAACAACTGATGGAGTTGTTTTTTCTGTCGGAGAGCTAAAAGAACTTGAGATCAGCAGATATGCTGCCATCAAAGCTCAGATTGGCACTCTATCTGCAGGTTATACGAGGTTGGTTTGGCCAAAACAGGAAAGATTCTTCTTGTTTGGCAGCGTTTCAGAGACCACTGCACAGCCAATATGCTGGCGGTGCGGCGTGTTCTGTCTCAGTATTGACGGCACACATTTTTTCATTTTTGCGTATGTTTTGTGGATCAGAAATTTAGGATCTGTAATGCAGTAGCATTTATTGTGTAATGCATCCGTTTGATAACAGCAGTGGCATTGGAAAAACAAACATTTAGTTCACATAGAATGTCGGTGTCAAAAATGGTATCGATTAATACATGTGATGCAGTAAAATAATCTGGCAGATTATCGTCACTTCAATCCTAAACCATGAAGCTCTACTCGGTGACGATTCTTTTAAAAAACGTCTCTCCCTCCATCACTATATATACCATCAATAATAAAGACCCATTGAGTAATCTGCAGGGTTTCAGGCACACCCCAAATACATAATCTCTTTTCACTGGGTGCCATGATGTGTTGCAGAGTGGACAATGTAATCCCATACCAAGAGAATGCAGACGGATTGGCTTTAAAAATGGGTTAAGAATACTTAAAATGACTCTGAGTAAGGACCATCTTTTTTTTAGTTGTCTTAATTTTTCTTTTATAATGACCTTCTTTAGACAAATACAGTGTATTGTGGGGAAGGGCACAACTTCAAGAGGTCTTGTGCTCTTTTGCACCATGTCTTTAATGTCCAGCACCTTCTTAAATGGTGAAGGTCCATATGTGTTCATCATGTGGGATGTATAGATGAATTTGTAGCTTGTTTATGGTGAGCATGATGGCAAACACAAAATTCTCCTAATCGTTTTAATGATCGATCACAGTGAAGATGATGAAGACAGGGGGCAGCTGGCCATCAAAAACTAGCAAGAATTTAGACATTCATTACGAAAACCTTTTTCATTGAGATGATGCTGACATCAATGAAAGTGATGATGATGAAGCTGGCAGCGACGGCAGTGTCGCGTGGCAATAACGATCATAAACGACGATGCAGATGATGAAGCTCGTGTGATGGTTGCAGATCTGTCGGAGCGATCAAAGTCTTAGTCTTACGAAAGCCAGCGAATCAGCCGACACCTGCTCTGAACATGCTGAAGGAAGAACAGACTGGCATTGTCACGCGTCAATATTGTTCAACTTCTGGAAGCCAGACTGCTTGAATGGTGATCTAATAAGGATGGGGCTGGAAAACCCTAAATGCATCAGTTGGCCAGTTGCCCTGAGCAACCAGACTTGGACCCCTGTCAGCCATTTAGTAGGTTACCACTCTTGGCAACAAGTTGTTGTATAGATTAATGTTTTCCTTTGATCACCCTCCTATCCCACTGCTTTACTTTAGTATTTTACCTTCCTGTGTGACGTGAGCTGGCCGGCTGACAGGAGGCTCTCAGGACTCGGAGATGTATAGGTTGTGAAATGTAATCAGCATGGGATTTGTGTCCAGCTGGCTCGGGAACCAGAGGATGTGGTGGGAGGAGTGAGTGAATCAATAAGCTGGTCCTTTGTGCGACACAAATTGTAAAGAATTGATTGTGCATAACTTACAGCAGCAGTGCATCTGCTTGATGTTTGTGGATATAGGATTCTCTCTGCAGTATTGACATTCACTGTAGATAACAGGCAGTAAAGACACTAAGTGATGTTCAGAGGGATCATACATCTTTTAAACACAATTTATTTTGGCTCCATGCTGCCTCGCCACCACATTTCCTCTTTGTGAAAAGTGTATTTAGAAAACAGACGTTTGGTGTGCAATGAATCAAAATGTTTGCTCACAGTGGGAGCTGTGAGCAGTGTTCTCATTAATGCGAGACTAGTATAT